TTAGCTCACCTTCCTCTGAAGCTGCACCTCACCATGTTGGAGACACCTCAGGCATCGGCGTGACCAACACAGTGAGGCATGATCTGTTCATGCGTTTCCTGTACAAAGAACATGCAAACAAACAGGGTTAAATTTCTATTTATTCTGTACATAATCCTGCATGTACACTTTCTCAAGATAAGGGCTGTTTATGATGCACCTGTATCCTTTATTGTGTGTATAGTATATTTTAGGTGAACAGACACTCCTGCAAATGATTTTAAGTTGTATAGAGTATTTGCAACTTGGGGACATTTTCATCTGTTCCTTGCTGAAAATCCTATCTTCAACATCACCCCCCAAAAAGATACCATTCTCATTTTGGTAATATTGATATTCTTTGTTAAAATAAAATGTTTTTTTTCTCTTTGGGGGAATGTTGTCTGGTTGGTTGGTTGGCTTTTGGGAAGTGGTTGTACTGCGGGTTTGAATGATTTTCCAGAAGCCCCAATTTTTTTTAAATATATTTTTGTTGACTTCAGAGAGGAAGGGAGAGGGGGAGAGAGATAGAAACATCAATGATGAGAGAAACAATAATCGGCTGCCTCTTGCACGTCCCCTACTGGGGATCAAGCCCATAACCTGGGCATGTGCCCCGAGTGGGAATCAAACTATGACCTCCTGGTTCATAGGTCAACGCTCAAGCACTGAGCCACACCAGCTGGCCCAGAAGCCCCAGTTTTTTAGCAATCAAGGTCAAAGCATGTACTTGATTCTGTGTGTCAGGAAGTCTTTTTTGTTAACTCAGTTACCCCGTATGCTAAAGAAATGGCACAGCCGGAAGAACTTAGAGGCAAATACAAAGCCAAAACCTTAGGAACTGTTTGCTTTTACTCCTCGTAATGAGGACCTGGGACAGAGAATAGAATAACCCCTCACATTCTTCTCCATTGGAGACAAGTCTCTGCCTCACCCTCCCAGTCACAGGGCTTTGCACCTGCTCCTCTTGTTCTCATCCTTTCCCTAGTTCTTGTTCCTTTCATAGAAACCATCTCCTCGGAGGCCTTTAGCAGCCCCTTCACTCCAGAAGCGCTACAACCAGCCATGCAGCCTCGACCTTCAAACAATCACATTCATCTCCATCCATGGAGCTAATAAACCCAGAAGCGGAATGAGCTGTGAGAATCCATACTCTCCATTCCAACATGCTCTTGCGAGGGGGAATCCGGGACTTTCCCCTTACCTTTTGTTAATTGCAAAATAACTCTTGTATTTCCAAGAGTAGGGAGCTGCTGAGAGTTGGTTTTATCCAGCGCTCCCCTACAAGCACCATCATTCCCTTACACCCAGCGCTCACATTACCTGGGCAGCGAGTTGCAAGCATACAACCTTCCTCTCAGCAGCAGTGTCTCCGAATTCCCCTCTGAGGCCCTGCTCCTTCCCCCGACCCCTTTCAGTCTCTCCTGGTATCAGCTGTGATTTGAGCAACAGTAAAGCATTGTCTTCCTAGAGGTTATACAGGAAACTAGAGAAAATTTGCAACCTCCTTAAAACAGCCCCCGTCTGCATGAGGCGCCTCCAGAAGAAACTGCAAACTTGCTCATCGGTGGGGAGAGAGGCTGACAGCAATAATGTTAAGGCTTCTGGGGCAGGAATGACTCGGAAGGAGCTCTCCGAGAAGGAAGGCTCCACGCTCCATAGGGAGAGTTTGGCTCTGGGTCAGAGGAGCCTGGCGCACGCTGTCTATCCGCTGTCTCTCTGGGGCAAGGTGCTGACCTTTCTGAGCTTTGGTGTCATCGCCCAAAGAAGGGTAACAGCAATGCCTCTGGGTGTGGTTGACACAAGAATTACAAAAAATAAATAAAAAGGGTCCTGCTTACGGCCAGAAAGCTATACAATGCAGCAATATTTATAGCTTTATTTCCCAAACACGGTGCCTTGCACAAAATTAGAGTTCATAAATATTTGTGGCAGTGAGGGGAGTGGAAGAGAGAAGGAGAAAGGAAAGGTGAAGAGAGACATTTGAAAGGATTTGAGTTGAGCACTGACAGACATAGTCTCCTCCTCTTATTAATAACTTTTCTGATTACAATGTTGTTTACTGTGGAAGTGTTTGAACACCACGGAGTAGGAACAGCCCCAGAGACCCTGCAGATCAGAGTCCCCTGGCTGCCAGGCGCTCTGCTGCCGGTACAGCAATTACGCCGCTTATGGCCACGTGTCATGAATGGTCTGTTATTCCAGAACCCCGTTCCCTTCCCCTGACACCGGGAAGCTCGGTTTCAGGGCAGTTTCTCCTGCCATCACCCCCAGTCTACAAAGGACCGCCACCATCCAGCTTCCCGTGACGCCCGCGCCCCTCACCTGTGCATCCCTTGTATGGCCTTATTGAAGGGCGTGTCCACTTATGTTCACATAGCCCCCTGTCCCAGGGGG